CCTCCCTGAAAAGAAAGAAGGCGAGCAGTCCTACCCAAAACGTGGCATCCACAGATAGAGGGCGAAGCAAGAAGAGCGGCACGGTGATCCCCAACCCCCGGAGGGACGTACCTAGGCGGAGGGGGGCTGGAGAAGGCGAGGGCGGTGGCGGGGAGGGAGACGCAGAAGGTGGGGGCGAGGGCGAGGCGATGACAGCTGCTAGGAGAGTACAAGGAAACAGTAGCGAATACGACGCGGCGCGAGAGAGCTCTCTCGAAGGAGCTCGGCAGACTCTCTGTCTCCGGCTGCTAGGAGGGCGTACCGCTCGTAGGTGAAGCCGTCGACGGTGCAGTACGGGTGCACCATCACGTCTTGGGTGATCGGGCAGAAGAAGTCGGGAGGCACCGCCTCGCACGGCCGCCGCTGCTGCTGCGCGGCGCCGCTCACCTGCGTACGCGCGCCCCGTCGGGGTCGCTGGTCTTGTCTGTGTGTCTGTGTGTGCCCCGTCGGCTGAGCGTCTGGTCTTGTCTGTGTGTCTGTGTGTGTGCCCCGTCGGCTGAGCGTCTGGTCTTGTCTGTGTGTCTGTGTGTGCCCCGTCGGCTGAGCGTCTGGTCTTGTCTGTGTGTCTGTGTGTCGGCTGAGCGTCTGGTCTTGTCTGTGTGTCTGTGTGCGCCCCGTCGGCTGAGCGTCTGGTCTTGTCTGTGTGTCTGTGTGTCTGTGTGTCGGCTGAGCGTCTGGTCTTGTCTGTGTGTCTGTGTGCGCCCCGTCGGCTGAGCGTCTGGTCTTGTCTGTGTGTCTGTGTGTGCCCCGTCGGCTGAGCGTCTGGTCTTGTCTGTGTGTCTGTGTGTCGGCTGAGCGTCTGGTCTTGTCTGTGTGTCTGTGTGCGCCCCGTCGGCTGAGCGTCTGGTCTTGTCTGTGTGTCTGTGTGTGCCCCGTCGGCTGAGCGTCTGGTCTTGTCTGTGTGTCTGTGTGTCGGCTGAGCGTCTGGTCTTGTCTGTGTGTCTGTGTGCGCCCCGTCGGCTGAGCGTCTGGTCTTGTCTGTGTGTCTGTGTGTGCCCCGTCGGCTGAGCGTCTGGTCTTGTCTGTGTGTCTGTGTGTGCCCCGTCGGCTGAGCGTCTGGTCTTGTCTGTGTGTCTGTGTGCGCCCCGTCGGCTGAGCGTCTGGTCTTGTCTGTGTGTCTGTGTGTGCCCCGTCGGCTGAGCGTCTGGTCTTGTCTGTGTGTCTGTGTGTGCCCCGTCGGCTGAGCGTCTGGTCTTGTCTGTGTGTCTGTGTGTCGGCTGAGCGTCTGGTCTTGTCTGTGTGTCTGTGTGCGCCCCGTCGGCTGAGCGTCTGGTCTTGTCTGTGTGTCTGTGTGTGCCCCGTCGGCTGAGCGTCTGGTCTTGTCTGTGTGTCTGTGTGTCGGCTGAGCGTCTGGTCTTGTCTGTGTGTCTGTGTGCGCCCCGTCGGCTGAGCGTCTGGTCTTGTCTGTGTGTCTGTGTGCGCCCCGTCGGCTGAGCGTCTGGTCTTGTCTGTGTGTCTGTGTGCGCCCCGTCGGCTGAGCGTCTGGTCTTGTCTGTGTGTCTGTGTGTGCCCCGTCGGCTGAGCGTCTGGTCTTGTCTGTGTGTCTGTGTGTGCCCCGTCGGCTGAGCGTCTGGTCTTGTCTGTGTGTCTGTGTGCGCCCCGTCGGCTGAGCGTCTGGTCTTGTCTGTGTGTCTGTGTGCGCCCCGTCGGCTGAGCGTCTGGTCTTGTCTGTGTGTCTGTGTGTGCCCCGTCGGCTGAGCGTCTGGTCTTGTCTGTGTGTCTGTGTGCGCCCCGTCGGCTGAGCGTCTGGTCTTGTCTGTGTGTCTGTGTGTGCCCCGTCGGCTGAGCGTCTGGTCTTGTCTGTGTGTCTGTGTGTGCCCCGTCGGCTGAGCGTCTGGTCTTGTCTGTGTGTCTGTGTGTGCCCCGTCGGCTGAGCGTCTGGTCTTGTCTGTGTGTCTGTGTGTGTGCCCCGTCGGCTGAGCGTCTGGTCTTGTCTGTGTGTCTGTGTGTCGGCTGAGCGTCTGGTCTTGTCTGTGTGTCTGTGTGCGCCCCGTCGGCTGAGCGTCTGGTCTTGTCTGTGTGTCTGTGTGTGTGCCCCGTCGGCTGAGCGTCTGGTCTTGTCTGTGTGTCTGTGTGTGCCCCGTCGGCTGAGCGTCTGGTCTTGTCTGTGTGTCTGTGTGTGCCCCGTCGGCTGAGCGTCTGGTCTTGTCTGTGTGTCTGTGTGCGCCCCGTCGGCTGAGCGTCTGGTCTTGTCTGTGTGTCTGTGTGCGCCCCGTCGGCTGAGCGTCTGGTCTTGTCTGTGTGTCTGTGTGCGCCCCGTCGGCTGAGCGTCTGGTCTTGTCTGTGTGTCTGTGTGTGCCCCGTCGGCTGAGCGTCTGGTCTTGTCTGTGTGTCTGTGTGCGCCCCGTCGGCTGAGCGTCTGGTCTTGTCTGTGTGTCTGTGTGCGCCCCGTCGGCTGAGCGTCTGGTCTTGTCTGTGTGTCTGTGTGCGCCCCGTCGGCTGAGCGTCTGGTCTTGTCTGTGTGTCTGTGTGTGCCCCGTCGGCTGAGCGTCTGGTCTTGTCTGTGTGTCTGTGTGTCGGCTGAGCGTCTGGTCTTGTCTGTGTGTCTGTGTGCGCCCCGTCGGCTGAGCGTCTGGTCTTGTCTGTGTGTCTGTGTGTGCCCCGTCGGCTGAGCGTCTGGTCTTGTCTGTGTGTCTGTGTGTCGGCTGAGCGTCTGGTCTTGTCTGTGTGTCTGTGTGCGCCCCGTCGGCTGAGCGTCTGGTCTTGTCTGTGTGTCTGTGTGGCCCCGTCGGCTGAGCGTCTGGTCTTGTCTGTGTGTCTGTGTGTGCCCCGTCGGCTGATCGTCTGGTCTTGTCTGTGTGTCTGTGTGTCCCCCGTCGGTTTAATCGCTTGGTTCTTTGTTGTGTGTCCTGTGTGCGCCCTCCTCTGCTGAAGCTTCTGGCCTTTGCTCTGGGTGTCTGCTGTGTTCCTTGCCGGCCTGAATCTTTTGGTTTCTTGCTCGTTCTTTCTTTCTCTTCGCCTTTACCGTTCTGGCTTTTTCCCTTTTGTTTGTTTGTCTTCCCGTT